AAAGAATGTATTTTCCATTATTAAATCAGTTAATTCGATGAATTCATCCTCTAGAAACATTGTCTTATAATCTTTGTAGTCTCTTGGTATTGTCCTTAATTATACATATTAATATTTACAAATCTTCAACTTAAACATCCTCTCCTTCCTTAGGTTGTTATTCAGGTTAATACAGGGTTATTGGTTATTGATCTAAAGCTCTAAGAATCTAGTCAGTATGAGAGTCAGTCAAGACCTCTGTAATAATCTAGCCTAGTAGTTATTAGAAAGGGTGGGCCATAGCATTATGAATAGGAGGAGGAGGTTATTTAAATGAGTTCACTAATTCTACATTTAAACTTGATTTCTTTTTTATTCTTAAAAACAAGGTTTCTTTATCCACTGTTATCGCTTGCGAATTTTAACTTATCTAAGAAGTATTCACTTGTTAATTTTTATTTTCCCAACTTATTGTGCATTCACATTCTCCCTCATATACAGAAGGAGTTGAGGCTGCAGTCAATGTTAATTTCAATTCTATAAATGACTAAGGTTCGAGTTCTCCCTATATAGGTTCAATCAAAAATTCATCTCCACAGCATAGTCCTGGTCTATTATTTGAAAGAGTGAATTATGAGACACCAAAATCAAATGTAAATTTTCTATCTGCTGATTGATTGTACAAAATGATCATTCTATGTGCAGATTTTAAAGGCAGTAATTCTCCAAAATCTATTTCTTCCAAAGAAAAGAACACTTTTGAGCCTATAGGAGATTGATGTGATCTTTATCTTGGAATTTCTATAGCTGATTTTTAAATTTAATTTTTAGGTTGATTTGCATATCCTCTTCCTTGAATGGCTAGCTTCACTGGTTGAATAACTTTGACCATATCTGAAACCTCAACCAGTAATTCAAAATAGTATGTTTTCTATTCTAAAGGTTTGAAAAGGCAATATAAATATTATTTCTCATTAGGCAAGAGGGATCCTTAAGGATTCTGAATATCAAATACATTAAATTAAGAATCAATGATCTCTCCATCGATATCCATTTCCTACACAAGTGTTTTATAAGACACTTTCGAACTTCCGACATTTTATATTTCTATTGGATATTTAACAGGTTACAATAATCCAACTGGAGTTTCAGGCAACTCAAATGAGTTTTTCTTTACAGCTAATCTACCTTCTAATGGAGCAAGTGTTGTTCCTTTCAAATTTAAAACTAATGGTTTTCCATTCAAAATTTATAAGACAACCCTTAGAAAATGACTCTCATTCGAGATTCCCTTAGATTTGAGTTGCTCATCTAAATTGCAAGGAGTGTAGATTAGCTCTATATCTTTGAAACATTTGGGAGCTATAACACCACCTTTGGGTCTAATTTAAAATATGTTCTTTTCTAAAATGGCTTTTTCAAATGTATCCTCTTCAGTAGGTTCTCCAGGATCAGCCCAAGGTTCTAATTCTATTTGATGATCAGATGGTAATTTAAATTGCCACTCTAAATCAGTACCTCCAATATTCTAAATTGTTATGACTATTTTCCTTGATTTTACTTATGGTTTGGATGGTAAGTATCCAAAATTCCAATCATAACTTCTCAATCTCTTTTATAACTATTAAGCTTGGTCAAATGTCAATTATTCAATTTTCAAAAATTTCTATTCATCCTCATTTAAATCCTTTCCTAATTCTGTATTAATTTGATTGATTTAGAAGTTTTCCCATAGTGTGGCAACACTAATTGAATCATTTCTCACATCAGCGATTTTTAGCAAAGGATAACTTCCTTTAGCCTTGATCTCTAGTTTGCACTTCTAAGATACAATTTTCTTATTTAAGTAATTAGGACCTTTAGGTGCTTTTGGATTCTTCTCTGTTGCAATAACATCCAAAACTAGATCAAATTCACAGACTTCTATTGGATTAAACATAATTCCAATGTCTAATTTGGAATTGGCAGCAATAATTCCATTCTGTAAATCCAGAGTGAAGGATCTGTTAATAAGACTAACCATTTAATGATCGATTTTATCCTTATCCTTGCTTTTTGGTCTAAGAACTAATTCAATATAAAATGTGCAATTTGAATTATTAATTAAAGTGGCATATTTTTTAGTATTGAAGTTAACTTTGATAATATTGAAGTCGATTTGTTTAACATTAAGTTCTAACTCTCCATCTGTGCCTTAGCCAAATATTTCGAATTGATAAGACAATTCAATTGGTTTTCTTTGTTCAAGTGGAAAGTCTTGATTTCCTGATCCTGGAATATGATACCCAATAAGATTTTAGTTGTCTGCAAGAATTTCAGTAGCAGTCATAGGTACTTTGATTCTATATTCTTTCTTCTTTTTGTAAGGAATAAATTGGCAGTCTAGATGAAGTACTTCATTGGGTTTAATTTAGCCAGATGGAGGTTCTATGTATAATTCATTTTAGTATTTCTCAGGGACATCGATTGAGTAACTCATAGGCACTCTTGATTCATTATGAACAGTGATCTTTTATCTAGAGTAAACTCCAACGAAGGAGGGAGGGAAGAAGACTTTTCCATCATTTTACAATTTCAATGAAGGAGTAGAACAGTATCCTATAGCTTACAAAGTTATTTAATTGGAAGATTAATGATTCATATGACAAACCAGAGTTTGGTTATAGGCCTTATTTTCAACTGGCACAAATTCGACAATAATCATCTATGATGACTTACCAAAGATTAATCCTTGATTTGGATATACTCTGAAGGTTCTTGTTGGATCCGGGCTAAAATTAAAATAGATTGGAGTGTCTGACTTATTAATGAATTCAACTGTTTGATAGACAGATTCCTCTATTGTGCAAGGAGGGAAGTACAATTTGTTAGATGGTCTAAGTTCTACAATTGGAATATAAGGTTGAGAGTTAATCCCAAACGAATGTCCTACACATCCAATTTATCCACTGAAGGTAGGAATCATTTCTTTGGATGTAAAATCTAGGGTATTCTTTTGACTAGTGATTCCAGTTTAAGATAATTTTAAATTTGCACCGTTTCCAAATGACTCATTCAAAATAGAACCTTTGTTATTTTTAACTGAATCTAGTATCTTCTTTGTAAGTTTTGGATTATATTTGATTGCAAAGAATTGAATATATTAAAAATAGTAGTATGATGATTTTGTAGGTCTAAAACTAATTGAAAATTTGCATTTAGAATTTGCTTGTGCTGATTGTGTTTCTGGAGAAACTGTGAAAACAGGCACCTTCTCTCCATTAACAGTAGGATGAGCTTGAATTGTCCAAAATACAGTCAATTTACAGTTTAGTCTATTGTGCAATTCCAACTCCCTAGCTCCACTTGATTAATAGCATTCTACATAGCCAAAATCTATAAAGTCTTCAGAAAATTTGATTAATCTATAATCTGAAGATGGAGGTAACATTAATTCTTTATACTAAACAGTTTGATTAGGATTTTCTTGCCATTCTCCTTGAAGATTGCTTTGATTTTATTAATTAATTTTCATCAAATAAGAATTCTCCATATATTTGAAATCCACTTCACTTAATTTTCCTTGAATGACTCTTCTTCTGAAATTGTCAACATGCTATTGAAGCAATGGTATAGGTTTGATCAAAAGGTCATAACATGTGCCAATTAAATCCACAAATTTAATTTGATTACTTGCAACACAATACACTCTTTCATAGTAATTAATCGTATGTCTAGGGGTGAAAGTGACGATGATACGATCAAAGCTTTTACCTTAGATTAGACCTCTAATTTTATTAAAGCTGAAAATGTTATTCATGTCAGTATAAAATTAATATGATGTAGCGAGATCAGAATCATTATGGATAGTCAATAACTTTGTCGCTTGATTGCCAATCTTTATCTCCCCAAAGTTAATTGACTTTTCACTTAAATACACAGCATGTTCAACTGCAGATCCAACACATTCAAATGTTAATTCATTTCCTCCTTAACATATCACTTTAAATCTAATAACTGAAACATTAAGGATTTAAGGTTAATATGTGACCTTGATTAAGAAAGTGCTTTTTTGAGGAATGACACCTGAGTAGTAATCTAATGAAAATGCATTGTCTTTAAACTCATCATCTATCATTTTTGTGATTTAGAATTGGGCTGTAACTTCTGATGAATTCTTAATTGTGATTTCCTTTTTTACTGTTTTACCTATCAATAAAGTTTCGAAATTGAGTTTCTTAGTGTTCAATTGTAAGAAAGGATATTTGCCAATTCCAGATACTTTGATGACTCTGGGTTCTTCATATTGAATGTGCATGATAATTGATGCAACAATGACTTCTGCCTACAAAGGAGCGTAAGTCAAAGTAAAATTGATTTTTGATCCAGGAGCTAACTATCCCCTAAGCTATAATCACTATGTATTACCTATCTGGAGTGATCTTAAATTTCTAAAATTCAAAATGAAACTACACAGGATAGTCATTTGGATTTTCAAGCACGAATACCAAATTAGATACAGATGTTACAGCAGTGAATCCGATATCAAGTGCAGGAGGAATGGTTGTTAATATCATTCGATGTTCCACTTATTTCTTTTTCATTTTATTAAATTTATTTGTTTATTAATAATAACTCATCCTAAAGTTTTATATTCTTATCCTTTTGGAGGCGACGGTCTATCCTTGCTCTCATAATCTTTTGTTTTAACTTCATCCCAATTAGTTGATCTAAACATTAATTGCATTCAATTTATTACAACACTGTTCCTCTTGATCCTTACATAGATTTTATCATTGCTTTTTTTGTGTTATCATCCCCATTTTAATAAATTTACTGAAACAAACTATTCAAAGGATCTTCACCGTATTCTTCCTTATGCTTATTGATATCCTCCTCGATCTCTTTGTCTATTTTACTCCAATCCTTCTTTTTTTTTGATGAACTGGGATATGCTGCTTATTCCACAATATGAATTTATTATTATTGTTCAACCTTTTTCTACAATGCACCCCAATTCAATGTTTTATCCTTCTTGTCCATAATGATTTCAATTGAATTCAACCCCACCTTAGCCTTACTTGTCTCTGGAATAATTTCATCAAATAACTCTAGATCAAGTTCAAAGTTATTTCCCTATCCTATGGGAAATGATAATTGTAGTCTAAAAGTTAAATATAGAATACTTTTATTTTTCAAACTAATATTTTAAATCCGCACTATTGGGTAATGCATGATGTATTTCTATACCAACCTTAAGATCTGTTTGATACCACCTATACATCAATTTTCCTGATGCAGAATAACAATCAGTTCTATCAGCCTCAGAATTCTTTGGGATTTATTTCAATTACTGAGTTACTCTAGATAGATATTCATATTTTGTTTTACTTTTCCTAAGCTGGTTAGTTGGTATTCTTTAGTTCTAGTTCACATTTCAAAAGTTACTATTGGGTTTCCTTATGGTTTGGATTGAGTTCAAGGCTTTTTTATAAATCTAACTTTGCTTATTAGATCTTTCCAATAACGAAGTTAATCAATCCTTTAATGATTTCACTGAATACCCTTTCTATAATATGCTTCAGATCTGTCAGAACTTAATTAGATTGCTTTATCCAATGTGGAGAATGCATCATCATATTAACCAAGATGTTATTGAACTAATGATTTGGTAACAAGAGTCTCATAGTCATCACTAACCAATAATTGGAGAGCTTGTTCATATTGATGATGAAGAATTAAGAAATAAGGATTTGAACTCATAATTATTTATTAATATTTTTCAATACTAAGAAATCTCTGCGTGTTGGACCGTACATATTCGCCAATCCTAAAATGATCTTACCGCTATTTAATTCTAGTTTATAATTTAGAATCAAATAAACTAGCAAAGTCTTCATTTCCAAAGTTGCTAAGTGTTATCCAATACAATTTCTAGGGCCAGCTGAAAATGGATTAAAAGAATATGGATCTAATAATGGGGAATTCCATCTATCAATATCAAACTTGAGTGGATTTTCAAAAATAGATGGATCAAAGTGACTCATCATCATATTTAAATCCATGCTCTATCCTTTTTAGATTGTGAATTCTCCTAATTAAATATCTTTAAGAGCAACTCTATTGAACAATGAAGGAACTGCAGTATAGTGTCTATAAGATTCATTAATAAAGTTATCTAATAGTTTAAATTGACTTAGTTGTTGTGGTCTTAGATCATCAAATTATTAAACCTAGCTTTGGATCTCCTTTCTGAGTCTCTCTTGAACTTCTGGATAGAGACCTAAGGCATAACAAAAGTTCTTCACGACATGGCTTGTTGAGTCTATTCCTGCAATTAAGAGGGTGAAATATTAATGAATGGCTTCTTCCTTGGTAATATTGTTATTTATGATTTCTTTGCACATGGTGGTCAATATATTATCTTATAATGTCTGATTCTCTTTGATTTTTTTGATCCCATTATCTATTTAAGATGAGATTCTTTATTTTTAAGCTTACAGTTCTCTAAGAAATGCCTTTTCACCAGATGACAATAAAAATGAGGGAGTCGTGGTCTTATTGAGTTTCAATGCGAAACATCTCAAAACAATTAAAGGATTTAAGAAGAAGAGCATCATTTTTTCCATATTTTTATTCACCTCAACACCCAAATCTGAAACATCATTGTTTTCACTTCCAAAAAATGCTTTGGTGATTGTTGTACTCGTCAACTACTTCAACAAAGTCAAAATATCAATGGGGCCATCTTGTAGTTAAAGTTTTTTGCATTCTTATTTTAGTGTTTCTACCATTACTAATAGATCCTGATATGTGAAATGTTTGGTTAACATTTGTCTTGATGTATGCCAACTCTTGCCATTTTGGAATAGCAATCCTTAATCCATGAATGTATCAGCAAAAGGCATGCCTTCCATTTTCTTAAATGATTCTTAATCAAAAAATACGAGTTTCTTCAGCTTTGGATCAACCAAGGAGAAGTGAACACCACCTTTTAAATCATTAGATATGTGTAATTTGAGTTTGTTGTTCTTTAACACATACCTTTTTTAGGAATAGAAGGCATCTTTTCGAAATATTAAATCTATTATGATTTGTCCTATAAGTCCAATTATTGGGAAGTAATAGATGTCCACTGCAGATCCAAACTTAATCTTGTAGTATAAGAGCTTTGGTATTGGTGCTATTACAAGATAAGCTATGAGGGCCAAGATTGCATAGCCTAAATATGATAAAATTATCAAATTCATAAATTCTTAATTAATTATAAACAAACAAATAAATTTTGGTTTAAAATTAAAAATTTTTATGGAAAAATGTATATTATATATAAGAATTGTGCAGTATGTAATCTAAATTCAAAATACATTTTTTTTCATTTGTCATCATCTAATGTCTAAGTTGATTTGATTAAAAAGTGAAGTTCGAGAAGAAATTGAACTTTCGCACTTTTAAGGGAACAATTTCCAAAATCTAAGAGTTTCATCTCCGCTGCCTGTCACTATGTTTTCTCCATCAGGACTCAGTGATAGATAGAGCACTCTTAATGAATGGCCATGAAGAACAGCAATTCTCTCTACTTTTGGCATTCTCCAAACCACAATCTAATTGAGGGAATAACTAAGTGTTTAAGGCATATTAATAATACCCATGAGAAGTTACTATTTCGTTAGTATTGAAGGACCACTTCACATTACAGATTTAACTGCCAGTGTCTACACTCTTTTGTAGTAATCCATTGGAAATATTCCAAAATTTTAATGTTTTGTCCGTTGTGCCTCCGCCACTACATAAAATATTATTTTATTTAGGGGACCATGCCAAGGCTTTGATTGCAGCACAATGATCTCTGAACACATAAAGGGGTTGGTTCGGCATCCTGATATTATGTATAATGACATTGTTATCATTGCCTCCTGAAGCTAGGTAAGATCCATTTTAATTCCATTGGAGTCCGCAAACTTCTTGTTTATGAGAATACAAAGCAATTTCACAATCGTTTTCAGTTCTAATATCTTACATTAAAATAGTCTTGTCTCCACTACCACTTGTGATGCATAAGCCATTCCAATCTAAACAACCGACTCTTTTGTGATGGTTTTCGTAGGTCTTCAAAATGGTTCCTTTGTTGATATCATATATTCTAACAGCTCCGTTATCATCACCCACTGCCATCAATTCATTTCTACTGCACCATTTCAATGCACTGATATATGAAGGAGCCTCTATCTCTAACAATTGTGTTGTCTCTCCAGTCTAAGCATTCCATGAATATACTGAATTTTCTAATGCCACTCCTATCTAATTACCTATACTCCAGTCTACTAATTAACAATAAAAATCATCTTTTAACTTAGGAGCATCTAATACCTTATATGGCGTTTTGTTTATTTTTCTAACAGGTGAAGGACAGTCATTATTAATTATATAGGGTTTATATTTAGATGGTTATCTTTAATAAACAAATAAACTTGATTGTGATTTACTCTCAAATAAATTCTATTTCAAAAAATAATTATATTTTGCCTGACTGCCTTCCATCCGCAGTCTTTCATTCAAATCTAAATCTTTCTTTAAGTCGCTCTACTAATCTTCTACCATATGGAATTGAAAATCATCCAAGTTCACTTTTTCTGGAACTAATCTAAAATCTAGAAGAATTGATACCTGTCAAAGCTTTTGCTCTTAGAAATTGATCGGCGTCTCTACATTATATATTAACGGATATTTTTTAATTATAATTTACATCAAACATAATTATATTTATTTTATGGAAATACTAGAAAAATTTAATGAACAAATGCTTTCCGATCCTAAAATTAAATATGACACTCAATAAATCGCAAGATTGAAGGTATTTTGCAATATCTGCGCAAACAAATGCTTGAATTTTGAATAGCCCGATCTAGCAAAATAGGAGTCGAATTGCTACACAAATTGCATCTAAAAGTTTTATAAGGGGTTTTTGAAATTATAAATATAATATGAATGATCATCTATAAAGAATACATAATGACACCATTAATAGTGCTTACGTCTCCTTTGCAAAGCGCTATAAACCCAGAAATGCCTCTCTAGCTCAATAGCATGATATTAATAACAATCCAATATAAATTTAACCTTCTAAGAAAAGAGTTAAACCTCGATATTTGACTCCGACCAGAAATGTTCAATCATTCCAAGACCGCGTTGTCGCCTTGCCAGTCATATCTTCAAGCCCAAAAAGCAAGTATTACGTTTCCAATTTATTCACTCCTTTCGACAGCAAAAAATAGGATCCCTACTTTAAGGATTGGAATTAAAAATTTGAACATTTACTTTGTGGAACCCTTCGTAAATTCAACCTCAACCAAGAGTAAAAACTATTTAACTAATCATTCACACCAGAGGAGCAACTCCAAATGATAAAAGTATTCAAAGAAAAACCACCATATTAATTTACAAAAAAAAATAAATAGCGATCATCCAAAAACAAAGATCTTGATGAAGATTTCGCTATTCACGATATATCTTAATATTTTTATAAACTCTAGGATTGATTAATTTATATCATTTTATTAAATAACCAACCTATCATCCTTGCATTAACCTCTACTCAGAAACACATTATTAAACTCAATTGCGAAATACTCAAATCAATCAAATTTACATATCATTTAATTTATTCAAAAATCCAGCAATTCTCTTACATCCCTATCAAATTGAGTTCTTTTCTTTTCCCCCAATGGTTAATCATCTGATTAAAAAGGGTCTTTTGAAAAATAATCTGTATACAATCTATAAATCTGTCTCATCTTTTGTACGTTGTCTTCATGTTTTTTTGGTACTTCCAAATTTTTATCTAAGGCTTACGATTATGATTTACTTGAAATAACCAAAAAGCGTAATCCTGTCAAAGTTTTCAATGTTGAGACCATATAATTTTCTGTTATTAACAAATCTATGGCATTGTCTCTTTCAAAATCTTTATCCTTATCTTACTCGACCTTGTAAATAGCTTCAGGAATTATTGTTTGTGTAAGGTGATCAATTGCATAAAATATTGATGATGCCTGTAAAACTTAATTTGTAGTTATTTTATCTTAATCCTCTCTATACTATTCTTTGAGTTGTGAAAAGAATTATAAACCTCCTGTCTTATTCACAACTATAAAATAATAATTTTATCTGTCTTTTTTCATTATAATATATATAATAATAATAATAAATTAAATATAAAAATATTAATTCATATATGTTTTTGAATTATAGAACTAATTTATAAAATTAATTTAAATCCTTTGTGAGTAATAACTTTCAATATTTTTTTTGAAATTCTCAGAAATTGTAAAGTGATTAGAACTTGGTAAATCTATATTAATATTTTATTGTTTTAGTTTTTTCTACCTAAGGAGAAGGTTCTACCTAGATTTAAGTAATATATTTAACAATTTAATTTGTAAAAAAAACAAGATAATTATCCAAATTTTATCCTTCTTAAATATTACAAAAATGTTCAGATTGAATTTATTTCCAATCGAGATTTTTGATTAATTTAGCAATGTCTAATCAAAATTTTTTAAAATAAAAATACTTTACATCTAAGATAATAAATTATTTAATATGTATACTGAGTTCATTTAGTCATTTCAATTTTTTTAGACACTATGATTATTTTAGTTAAATTATTTTAATAATTGAGAAATCATTAATTGCAAATAGTTTGTGGAAATAGATAATTTAGTGTTTAATTTGATTTTGTCAAACTCAGATAATAATTCAATTTGAGTTAGTTAGATTATTTTGTTTTAATATTGATAGTCTTCAATTTATTTACAGATTTTTCCTTTTTATTATTAATTTCTTGACAAGATGTCACTGAAATTTACAATTTAAACCTCTAAATTATTGAAAATACCATTTGCATTTTTTTTTGGATTCATGAGTTTAAATATTTCCTTATCCAAATTATTGCCCATTTTTTTAATATATGTTTTAGCGGCTACCATAACTCTTAAGATTGGGCGAAACATTAAAATAACAATAACCATAGAAATCGAAATCAAAGAGCAAGATGTAATTATTTACGTATAGAAAGTTTGTTCATTTACTTATTAAACATTGAGCTCTAATGATAAGAAATTTTCTTGCAATAAGTGTTCAAAACTCGCATTAGTAAACCTATTGTATTAACTTAAATATTACATCATCAATGTGAAATTGCCAGGAATCTGATTGGCTACAATTTTTATGGGTTTCTAATAAATGGAATTATATCTACATAAAATTTATTTTTCATCCTCTAAGCAATTCGAAATGCTTGGAGAATTTTTAGCAAAATTTAAAATCTCACCCCAATCAGATTGATTGAATCCTGTTTTGTTCTCTTCATAAATAAAATTAAGTTCAGTGACGGAGAGATTCAAATTTACATTTCTATAAATGATCTGACCTTTTGCATTAATTAAATAGGTGTTTGCTTAAACCAATCTCATATCTGGATCCTCGGCATCTATATCAGTACCTGCAACTGCATCTAAACTTTAAGTGTATTAATTTTCTAAAGAATAAGTTATGGTTTATTTGTAGATAAATTCAGTGCCCGAAAAGTAGAGTTATGAGAAGTGAAATTTCTAACTTTTATCCAATTAGTACTTCTCAACATGGTTTAAATACCAATCCTTCTATTAAGGTGCGAATGACTAATCGTATATGACTTAAGGATAAATAAATCCAAGTTAAATGTCTCCAGTTGCTGCATAAAAGATTCTATTATGTTGTAATGTATCAAATAACAGAATATGCTCAGATAATAATCTGGAGAATTTCCATAAATCTTAATATTTTTGAATTGATAGTAATTTATTGCCATCTTTACAACGATAGCAAGATATACAAGGTTCTGGAATCTAAAATATAAAACTCTTTTATTATAAAGTTTAACACCAAAGTGGATCTTTGTATTATTCTGAGATATGATAATTGCCTAATTATTAATAAAGTGTTCCTAAGCTTGTTAGAAGTTGAATTCCTAAAGTATTTATAAAAGATTACGTTAATGCTACTTAGATATGAGATATTGATTCAGTTACGGAAGAAAGAGCTTAAGCGCTGCTCTGTCTTGATTTTGTAGAACAGTTGTAGAGGAGTTTTCGTATATTCCTATTATTACATTTTTCTAAACAATATAAAATGACCCAATCAATAAGAAACTGATTAAGAAAGCAAAAATCTTAACCAAAAAAATCTAATCTCTCATTTTAAGGCTGCGAAACCTTTTTTTAAAGAATTGCCAAATCATTATCAATTAATCTAATTTAATATTAATTTTCATTTTGATTTAAGAAGTATTTGGTCACAATGGATTAAAATTAAACAGTACAAACTAATTTTAGACAAAATACTTCTATTTACTAACTATCCTTTTATTTTATTAATATATGTATTTTATTCTTTATATTTTATATTATATAATATTAAATGAGCGATAAATCAAAGTCACCTCCAACCAAGAAATTAACCAAAAATAAAATAAAGAAGCAATTCTCTAATGAGAAATTCTCAACTAAAAACTACCAGCCTTCAAGATTTGTTGTAGCGGAAAGATTATAACCAATAACGTATATGAATTAGTTTCATTATTGATATAGATACAAAGCATAAGAAATTCTTAGTGAGTTTCAAACTAAAATTGAAGATGCTTTCTTTTCTTAACCAAATTAATTGAAAAGTGTGTAGCCTAGTTAATAGAGAGTGTTATAAGTATTACTCATAGAGAGTTATCAATTAGCCAAAAGAATATAAAAAGAAACCGCTAAGAAGATAAGAGAACGATATGCAAATGTATAAAGACATCTTTGTGTAACCCAAAGCTGATGCATTGTAAGAGCTAAAGGAAAAAGAGAAAGATTTTGAAGCACTCTTCCATAAAGGACAAGCAAAACAATATGACAAAATTCTTAATATTAAGGAGGAGGAGGATAAACCAGTCAAGAATTTATTGGGCTCATTATTAAATGAATAACTAATAAAATCTACAGCCCCCATTGACAATATCGATTTGAAAAAAGAAATTGACAAAGTAGCTTAAATGGATTTACCTGTTCAACCGGAAACTAACTTTTAGTTCTTTGATCAATAGATTTCTGTTCAACCCCCAGATCTACCAAATGCAAGTATTGCATCTCCATTGACACCTGGAAATGGTTATGCTCCATCAATACCCTACACTCATAATGTGAAGGAAAACAATAGAACTAGCATTAAGGATTTACTTGTAAGAGCCAAGGCTGGTATGTAAGCAGGTGATATTTAAAAGGAAGCTCATTTATCATTTTATTTAGGAATGGTTTATGAGAGTAGCAAAAATCATAATGAAGCTGTGAGATTCTATAAGAAATTTGTGGCATGTGCCAAATTAATGGAAGATAAAATAGGAATGGCTTTGGGAACTAACAGGGTGGCTTTTAATTATTACAATGCTGGTAATTTTACAAAATCTATTGAATTTCATAAACAAAATTTACAATATTCTGATCAGGAGAACATGTTTACAGGGTTTTACAATTTGGGTTTAGCTCATAGAAGACTTAAGAATTATGAGGAATCCATTGATTATTTTTCGAATGCTTTAGAATGGGCACAGAAAAGAGATGAAGCAGAATCCTCATGCATTTCCTATGGCTAGTTGGGTATAGTGTTTTTGGAAGTTAAACAATATGATTAAGCATTTGAAAATTTTCAAGTAAAGTTTTATAGAGATTAATTAAATAGAATTGTTATGAGTTGGCCAGAAGATTGAAAAATCACAAATTGCAATTAGAGTGCTTATTAAATCTAATTAAAATATCCGGATATCTTTAAACCTCAACGGAAGTGTAGACATAGATTTTAAAAAATGCTATCTTAGTAATTTTAGCTTATATTATTAAAGTGTGCGAACCATTTAAACGAAAAATCAATTGCCACACTATGTTTATGCAACTTAGGTGTTCTTGAATCAAAACCTCCCTTACCAAATTAACAATACGACGATTTAGAATATGAATAATTTTGATAAATTACATTATTTTTATTATAATAAAATGAATTCGACTTTAGAAAAAATTTCAGCGGAAGACTGGCATTATAAATAGAAGAGCATTAACATACCGAAATCATTTATGAATCAGATCGTTTTGAATTTCTTTATTGTGGAAGGATACAGAGATGCTGCAATAGAATTTTCTAAAGAAGCTGATATACCATGTAATTCAATAATCTTAACTTCTAAATAGTGTCTAATCAAGAACTTGATTAAATGATTGAGAGAATTGAAATTAAGAAAAATATTTTAGATGGTGACATTGACTCTGCATTAGAAAAGGTCAACAAGAAAAATAATAATTTAATACTTTTTAAATTGAAAACATAAAAATTAATTGAGCTCATTAAGAAAGATTAAATTGATCAAGCAGTTAAATACGCCTAGACTGAAATTATACCACTCCTACCCAACTAAGTAAATTTTTAATTTGATATAGCCTCACCTGATTGAGGAAATAGAATAAGCCATTGCTTTAATAGCATTTTCAGATATTAAAAAGAGTCCAATGAACCATCTTGTCTAAAATTCTCAAAGAATCAAAGTGGCTAGCGAAATCAACCAACATTTATATCAGGACTCTATGGGAAATGATTAGGCTAAATTAAGAACATTAATGAAATTGCTGTTATGGGCTTAAGAAATATTAAAGTGTGAGATATAATACCCCCAACTCTTGGAAATTTCAAAAGGGCAATTCTCTAAGGAGGAATGACTGAATAATGACAATTATTGATTTTATTTTAATATCTTCTATTTTTCACAATTATGGAAATCTTAGTTTGAATAGACTCATGGCAACATTAGAAATCTCTTTGGCTCTGTCATTCAACCAATCCATTTAATCTTAAGTTTATGCTACTTCTGCAAACTTTCTTGAAAATCTGATTTTAGTGAATGATTCAATTTCATTAAATTTAGCCTACATTACAATTTCAATTACCAAATCTTCATAATAATGGTAGATATCTTAGGCTGTGTAATTATTTGGGAGAACATGATCAAATCTCTTAATTGGACTCACATATTTTCTAATGATTTCCTCGAATTTCATTTTATTTATTAAAAATATAATAATATTGGCGAATACTAAATGAAAATCTTATTTAATTTTTAGAAGACCATTTAGAAGGAATTTAACAAGTTAAATCCCTTTTGAGAAATACTTGTTTGTATAAGAATTTATCATTAATAATTAAATAATCAATTTCATAAATAAATGAGAGAGAGAACAACAGATAAAGTGACTATCTTCACAGCCCAATAAAATTACTAGCACAAACAATGTTACAAATTAGAAACAAGCACCAGTCTTAAAATTTTAAGGAGTCTTTAATCTAGAACTTCTGTTGGAAATGTTAGCTAAGAAAATTTAACAAATTTAAATAAAGTTATAGATAGAAAAGTAGTGGAAATCTATCTTAAAGAGAAATAAAATTCAGGGTACTTAAGTGGTATTTTTAAATCTATGTAAATGTTTCTTCAAATTAGGTTATCTCATTTTTCAAATTCGGTTTTGTAGGAGGAGGAAGAACTTTAGCACGATTTAAGTGAAGACTGGGTACCAGATGAAGAAGATAATGCAGGAGAAGAGGATGATTCTATTTTATGACAGTGATATTTAATTAAATCAATTTAATACATTTTTAGGATACTTTCTTTTCATTTAGCTAATACTTTTTACAATATTGTCTTTGGGTTTCACGTTCTTTTTCAACATAGCTTCATAGATTTTTAATTCCTAATCCTTCAAATCTTTATACCATGATTTTATAAGTATTCCATTTTCTATGATAAATCAATAAAATACATGGATTCAATGACATTCCTGATAAAGAATTGTCAATAATAAAGGTTTTATCTAGATTAGAATTAACCTTAGTTAAATCTTTATAAAACACTCCATCTTTCTTAGTACAACTCTAAACAATTTATAATAATTTTGGTTACATCTCTGTAGAATCTTCTCTTGATGAACCCACTTGGATCTAAATAATCAATTACTTTGTCTGCATATTCCTTGATGGCGGCTGTAAAGATAACCAATTCAAAGTAATTTGATAAGGCTTTCAAAAAATCTCTAGCAAAAGGCCTAATTTTGACGTAATATTTTTCTATCGTGTTCCCTATTTTCACAAGGATTTCTTCATCGAGAAATGAAGTTCTTTCCATATCAGAGTGTATTAAGGTTTCATCGAGGTCCAACACAAGAGTAAACTCTTTTTCAGTCTTTTTTGCAGTTATTTTATCTTTGCATTCATCATCAAAATCTAAGCCCTTCACTGAGATAGGTGATCCCATCATTATTAGGATCGAGCCCAGCATCTCCCAACTCCAGGAGATGATTTTCTTGCACTTATCAGTTGCAGAAGCATTTACTAAAGTACTTCCTACCATTTTAGCAATATTTGATCTAGAAATGTATTCCATTATTTAATTAATTAAAACGGGGAAGTGTATATTAATATTTATAAATGTAGTATAATATTATTGAATAAAATAAAATTGTAGTGAACGTAGTGGATCCTAAAATTAATTAAAATCAAGATGAATTTGTAATCTACAGTATTGAAGGATAAGACAATTAAGGAAATTTTTAGATTTAGCATCGTTTTAGTGAATTTTACTAATTAAGATCACTGCTTGTATAAAAATGGTAATACTGTTATATACCTTCATTGCCTCAAAAAGTAGTTCAAGTAAATGTAATTTCCTAATAAAATAGGGAAATTTGAGCTTGTAATTGATTTATCAAAGATTGGTGATGCTCAATCATTTTATGAGATAATTATCTCATTTTTAATTTTTGTGGTATTCTAATGAAGTTTAAATATTTTTACGATAACAATAAATACAGGATAGTAATTCTAATGAATAGCAAAAGAATTATGCTGATGTATTGATATCAACATTTCCAGATTTTGCAGAAAATGCTATAGATTAAGAAAATGAAACAAAAATTGAATAGTTTTTTCTTTTTATCTAAAATGCCACTCCAATTCTACAAAATTACAGGATTAACATGAAAAATAAAATAAATATTAGGTAAGATTTAAAAATAAGTAGCAAAAATTACTTTGAGTAAATGGATATTTTTAAAAACTTTTTTATACCAGAATATGAGGTAATTTTGGAGATAAATGTTGAAAATTAAAATATCTACTAACCAAGGAAGATATTTGAAGATGATCAAAATAATTGTGATTTGAGTGAAAATCAGAAGTAATTCTATATCATGTATATTTAGATTAAAATTGAATTGAATGAATTTAATGTAAAAATAATAATTAAATTTAATAGGTTTTAAATGAGTTAATTCAAAAAAGAAAGGAATTGCAACTAAACATTTAATCTTTGAATGAGTAACTATAAAAATAAGTTAATTATGTCTCTGAAACTTAAAATAATGGATTAAATATAATCATGAAGTTTATAACTACAAAAGAAGAAGAAATAGAAAAATCATTAACTAAATTGAAATAAGTGAATTATTTTAATACCTAAATAGCTAGAAAAAGAGTTGACAATAAAAGTTTAGATCTTCAATTTAATTACCAACAAATTAGCTTCAGATGTTCAATTTTTGAAGTAGATTTTTTTAGAAAATTATCAAAATTTAGTCAAATAAATGAGTAGATTTTTTAAACAAAATGCACAAAAAGTATTAATCGTATTCATTTTTAGAGTGTTTCTTATTACTAAAACCTATTATAATAATTAGAAAAATAAGGTCTTTGAAATTAACTTATATAATTATATTTATATAATTTATATTTATTTGTATTCCGCATTTGAGATAATAATGTACAATAACTTCTTCGAACCCCTTTTTGAGAAAACTGATGTTAATATTATCAGTAATAAAGTAATTAAACTTTAGATATTTAGATTTTATTTGATATTGGTGAGTATATTGGAGAGCAATCAGATGAAAATTTCAAGAATCTCTAGAGTACCCTCACATTGCTGAATTATTGCCTAGACATCAAGCCACTTGCTTAAGAATTATTCAATAACTAAAATTTAAAAACTAAGTTAGAATTAGCCAAGGTTAGGATACCTCAATTAGATTAAATAATTAAATAGATTTTAGATAAGATATAATTAAATGATTAAGAAGAACAATCAAAATTTGACATGTCTATAATAACAAAAATAATTGATCTTAAAAATGAATACTTATAATAATATTTGAGGATCTTCAGAATTTACATTCTCTATAATGATTAATTGCAATAAGTATTAAGTTTGGATGATGAAGCAACAGAGATATAATTAACTGATTGGTTATAACAAATGATCACAATATTGGCCTAATCAAATTAGGAAAATAGGGACAGAATTTTGGATATTATAACTTATTTAATTAGACAATAATTAGAATTGATTAAGTTGTTGTTCAAGTTGGATATTTTACCAACAATATTGTCATTTTTGGAATAAGGATAATCAATTGTCAGATGTCTTGTTTTATTAAGAGATATGCTCGAATATAATTAGTTGTTTCTCTAATAAATTAATAATTAAGAAATTATAGGATAAATTAAAGATCTTGCCTCTAAAAAAAAGGATTAAAAATCAGTTTTAATATTAATTTCTTAGATTTTAAATGCTCTTAATTACTAAACTGAATAAGAATAAATAGCATTTCAAGTTAACGAAGATTCAAATTCTGAAGATATCACTTAAACAATTGAATAAATTACTCTATAAGCAATATGTGGTCAACTTTAATACAGCAGTTAACTATTTGATTAATTACTATTTGCTATTTAGAACATCACTTTAAGTGAGCAAACTCTTCTTTCATTGAATTACATCTTTGAAAAAATGATTCATGAGTTAAATCAAACTTAAGTTAAGCTTTTAGTAAATGTAATTGTGAATTTATTGACCTAAAAATTAGAATCCTAGTTATATATTACCTAAAAAGTGTATTTGGTATACATACATTTATTAGTTGAAATAAATTAATAATTTAGATCATTTATATAGATTGAATAAATTCAAATTTTGAAATAATATCATTCAGATGATGTTAAAATAATGAGGTAAAATTATTTTATTATAGTTTAGATAACTAGATGAAATATCTCGGTTTAACAATAAAGTATACAAAAAATTCAAGGATTCAAGTTTAATCTAATAATCAGGATTTATGACATCCTCTATAAGATAATCAATAAAAAGTTAAGACTCGTAATCATCTGAGGGAAAGGATATTGAAACTGTTTTAGATTAAATTATTTATGTTAATCTAAAATAAGGAAAATTAGAAAAAATAATATCTTGTTTATCTGATATCTATCAAATAACTAAAGACAACCCAGAAATTCTTTATAAATACCAAAATGATATAATAGAGCTTTACTTATAATATCCAACCATTAAAATTATTTAAAATTACACGAAAATGATACTGTCCTAATTGGATTATAAATCCTTGATTTTTAATTTTTTTGAAGATATGGAATAGTATGACACTCAACAACAATTAAAATTTTTAGCTGCCTTTTCATTATTTTAATAATAATTTGAATAATATCATAAAACAATTATGAAATAAATCACAAATTGGATTTTGATAAGAATTGATTAAAGCCATATCAAATCATTATTGGTTATTTGTTTAAATTTAAATCTTAATTAAAGACAATTAACAAATTATTTTTTGAAATAATTAAATAAATATGAGGATATTCAACTCGATATCCTTCTTTATTCAGTTTTAGCAAACTAATAAAAAATTATGGAAAATGAATTATTAATTCAACTGATTCAATAATATGAACAGAATGTTCGTTATGATATTTCCATTGAGAATATTTCATCAGGAAATTTACTCAGATATAAAAGTTTGGGTGAATTAGTAACAATAACAAAAGATTTTGATTTGATTAAATAGTTTAATAAATCCTTTAATATTGATGTATAAGAGATCACATATATGTAATGCTTAATTCTATGTGATTAATTGCATTTCTAATTGGGATTGAATACATTAAATGAATAGTAGCTTCTAGAAGTTATAGATGAAACAAAAGTGATATAATTATTAGAAAAGATCTTATAAGAAAGTTAATAGGAAAATAATTATGATGTAACTTCACAATCAAAATTATTATAATTATTCTTATTATAGGCTTTTGAAGATGTTGAAATATTTATAAAATAAGAGATTTTAAAACCTTAACTGCAGGAGAAATAATTCATTTAGCAATTTTAGCAAAGCTTGGCTTAATAACTCCAAAGAGTTTTGAATTAGAAATAATTAAAGGATGAATAATTAACATTAAAATATCTAGCAATACTATCAATCATAGCTGAATAAAATGATCTATTACAGAATCTTGACTTCAAATCTTTAATTTAAATTCTGCAAAAACTTCTTACTTACCTAAAAGAAGATAATATCTCTATACAATTGTTTGAAACAATCCTTAATTTGTTCAAAACTTTATTTTAATGGAACAAAGCAAAAACTTATTATAAAATTACTTTTTTAAAAGAAAACATTTTTCTAGATATTGGATTGAAATATCATTAACATAAGGAAGTTATCAAATAAATTTTAGTGTTATTAGTAGGATAGGAGTAATATGAACAATAATATGCTCAAAAATTAGAATAGACAAAAACAAAATAAGGAGAAAATTAAATAAAAGAAGAATAAAATTTATTTTAAGATCTAGCAAGTTAATATATAAACGATATTCTCTCCCAGACAATTACTAAATAAAAATAAGAGTTAGAAACCTAATAATAAGAAGTCGAAAGTTAAAATTAATAATACTAACAATAAGAGTAATAATAATAACAATAATAATAATAATAATAACAATAAAAATAATAAAAAAAATCATCATCTTCATCAAGTAGCTCAAGTTCCAAATCTTCAGAGGATGAAAAGAAAGTAAACTAAATTGAGGCAGCAATTGTTTTTAATGAAGAAAAAGCTGAAATAAAAGTGTAATTAGAATAGAAAAGACATTCAAGTAGTTCATCAAGCAAATCTTAAGGTGAGTAAATTAAGACAAATTTTGTGATTGATAAGAACTTTGAAGAAGATTAATTCCATACCTAAGTACATTAAGAAGTTAAAGTAGAATAATAGAACTCAGATGGTTCATCAAGTTCTGAAGAATTAAATAGAAAACAGAAAATCGTCATTGCTGCTGCTGTTCATCATAAAATAAAGGATAACAGAAAAAATAAAAGTAGTTCATCTTCATCGATATCAAGTTCAAAGGAAGAAAAATAATTAGAATTTAAATTATAAGCAAATGAAAATCAATTTAAGGTTGAAATAGGAAATGAGGAGACTCAAGTTCAAGCTGCTTTAGAAATACCAAGAATATAGGAAGTTGTTTAAATTGAACAGGAGAAAGAAGAAAATGAAGAATCTCGATAACCAAGTTATTTAAAGTAGATGATGGCGTAATAAGAAGAAGTGTCAAGAATTTAGGATAAATAAGTTGATACTAAATTAAAATTAAAGTAACTTAAAGAAAAGAAATAACAATTAGAACAAGCAAAATTAAAAAAATAAGAGGATGATAGGATCAGATTAGAATTAGAAGAGAAAAATAAACAAGAGGAATTAGAGAAATAAAGATTATAGTAACTTGAGAAAATACGATTAGATTAGGAGGAATAAGAAAGATAAGAGTTAGAGGAATAAATAAGACAATAATAGATTCAAAAGATAGCATTAGAATAAGAAGAGAAAATCAGATAAGAATAAGAAGAGAAAATCAGGTAGGAAAAAGAGGAATTGTTAAGAATTGCTCTTTTTGAAAGACTCAAGAGGGAAGAAGAGGAAAGAAAGAGAGAAATTGAAAGATAAGAAGAAGAGGAAAGAGATAGATAAGAAGAGCTTATTAGAATTTAAAAGTTGGAATAAATAAGATTATAATAAGAAGAAGTTGAAAGAAAGAAGAAGGAGGAATAGGAATTGTATAATAAATAATAAAGAGAATTAGAAATAATAAGAGAAGCTGAATAAGCAAGAGAATAAGCATAAGCATAATTGAAATTAGATATTAAAGTTGAAAATTAAGGAGATCACTAATCTGGTAGAATTGCTTTTGAAGTAAATGAGAATAAATTTTCAACTTAAATCTAAGAATCAAATAATCCAGAATAATCTAAAAATACACTATCATATTATTATGGATTACCACCTTCAAATAATTAAGAAGCTCCCTAATTACGTTAAGAAGATTTACGCTTAAAGGCATCAATTATGTCTTAATAAAACTATGGATAATAATAAAATTACGGAAATCAAATATCCTATCAAGGATTACAATTAGATTAATAAATAAACTTTGAGAAACAAGAATTATAAATTAAATATGATCCAGGCAATATTTTATTTTCTTAAAATGAATAAAAAATACTAGAAATAAAGGATGACGAATTATTATTATCTTCTTAGTTGATAAAATAAGCAGCATTAAAATAAGAACGAAAAAATGAATTTTACCAACCTTAAACTAATACAATAAATTTTGTTTCAAAACAAGAATTTAGTAGTAATGCAGATCAAGAAGTACCTGTCACAAATTATCAAATTAATATTAAAGAACCTACTTATGATGAATAAGAAAAGCAACATATAACATAAACTATTCATTAAGAAATTTTACCATAATAATTTTCATAATAAGAAAATATATAACATTAATAAAATGAAATAGCATTAGCTAATTAAGAATTTGAAATAAATTAAGAGTAATTTAAAGTTTAAATTCAAGAACACCCATAGTAAACTATTTCAACCAACATAGAATAATAGCAAATAAATAATTAAGAAGTAGAAAAGCAAGTCTCGGTAACAACAGCGATTGTAACTCATGAAATAAACAAATAAGTAGAAGAAAAAGTATAAAACAATAAAGAGAAACAGCGAAGTTCAAGCAGTTCGAGTAAATCCTCATCTTCTTAAGATAAAAAAAAAGATGATAAACACAAAGAAAAGAAGCATATTGGTATGGAAGTAGGCAAGACACTTATTGAAGCAAAGATAATCGAATAGGGAATTAAGGCAGAATAATAAAAGTAAAAGGAATAAGATGAGAAATTAACAAAAGCAGAACAAAAACAGAAACTAGAAGCAGAGAAAAAACAGAAAGAAATTCTTAAAGCATAAAAATTAGAGGAAGAAAAATAAAAAAAGGAGGCTGAAAAACTACAAAAATAAGAACTTGAAAGATAAAAAAAGGAAGCAGAGAAATAAAAGAAATTAGAGGCAGAGAGATTGAAAAAAGAGGCTGAATAAAAAAAGAAGGAAGATGAAAGATTAAAAAAAGAGGCTGAAAAATAAAAGAAAGAAGCAGAAAAGTTAAAGAAAGAATAAGATAAATAAATTAAAAAAGAAGTTCAAAAAGAAGTTGTTAAGGATTTAATAATATTAGATGCTGCTAAAAATATTCATTAAGAAAAGAAAGAAGAAGAAATGGATTCTAAAACAAAGCTTAAAATGCTGAAAGAGTAAAAGAAAATTGAAGAAGAAAAGACTAAATAAGAGGAATTGAAGTAAGAAAGACTTGTCTAATTAGAAAGTACTTTAATTGTTGCTGAGGCTTAACACTAACATTAGCATTAAACTAAGAAGCAAAGATCATCATCTTCATCCTCCTCCTCTCAAGAAAAGTCTCATGATGTCAAGAAATAAGAAAAGCATAATGTACAGGTTGAGGTTGTTAAGAACGATTAAGATAACTAAGTTAGCTAAAATGTTTTGAAATTTGAAATTACATAAACTTCATTTGATGATTCATAAAAAAATCAATCAACTATAGAATTTAAGGTAAATTAATAAATCCAAAAAGATCATTAAGATAATTAAAATAATTAATCAGTTTAATAAGAATTTATCATACATACTCAATAGAACACTAATAAAATAGAAATTCAATAGTAAAATTAATAATTGAAAACTTAAAATATTAGGTCTAGTTCATCATCATCTTCATCATCCTCTGATAAATAAGCTAAAAAATCTAAGCAAATTGAAACTGTTATAGTTGCATCTCAAGTTGAAAAAAGAATTCATGAATAAGATAATTCTAAAAATACAAATGATATTTAAAGAGGAAATCAATAGATACAAATAAATTATAATTAAGGAGAACCTCTAGTGTAAGGAGCGAATGAGATTGAACATAAATATCAATAATAATAAGAAGTTATGCAAATATCAATTAAATAACAACCGACTTAATAATCAAAGGAACATGAATTTTAGGTATAATACGAACAAAAACCTTAA